TCCTCCAGCCCTGCTGGCACATTCTTTCAGGTGTTAACTCTATTGAGAGGGTCAGTAAAATATTTGATAATGCATAGGTGTTGCAAGGACTAGTGTGGGTTTTTTTTCCAAGTTGAAAAATTTGCTATTACTCCACACTTCCTGAGTGTAATTAGTTGGGAGTTGTGAACATTATACAGCTTTAGCCACAATAGTGAGATGGGCATGGCAATAATTTACAACCAGGAACAGAACAGATTTTAGAATAATCTCATGCTGTGGCATAAGCATAATTGACATGGAAGTAATTACACATAGCATTTAGTCAAAGAACAGATTTTGGTGACCACAGGTAATGGATTATTGCAGTGAGAACAGTGGAGTTACACAGTATACTTCTTTCATTATCTCTACAGCACCAGAGTTGTCCAGGGCATGTCTCAGGGGAAAGCAGAGAAAAGTCTCTGACCCATGGAGCTGGAATTTAAAAGTCTGATTCTACCAACCCATTCTTGCACAACCATGTATCTGTATTCCCAGGAGCAATCTCATTGTTTTCAATGACAAAGGGTTCACCAGATCAGGCCAGAAAGGCATCCTAACTCAATAAGGACGACAAAGGGCAAGGGAAGAGGAGAAATTTGTTCCTTTCTACATGCATATGGGGAAAGGGGAGCGGGGCAGGAAACTTGTAGTTAGGTTTCAAACACAGACAAACCAGCTCTGCGGGGTTCTTCATGTGATAATTTAGTGTTTTTGCATGATACATTTGCAATATTTGTGATATTTTTATTAACAATGAATAATCACTGTTAGTAAATTAACTGTCTTTGACAAAGCACTTTGACCCAGTTGACCCAGCCCTGAAAAAGATGGGCTTTCTAAAACAATGATTAACAACAGTAATAAAGTATGTCTACTAATGCCAGTCTAGTTTAGGTGTTAGGAAGTATTAAAAGTTATCTACAGGACACTACAGCTCGTTCTGGAAAAAAGAATGAGCATGTGATTTTTAGCTTTGCTAGTTTTACTGCAGGTTTGGGCTAGGTATGGACATTCAAAAAGCCCAAGGTGGAATCAATCTAAGTTTTCTGCAAGTTTAGATCAGCAGTGAACAGAACACACATTTGCCTTTTGGTGGGGGTGCAAATCTTAGGCTGGGTTCTGCTATTTTTAAACCAATCTGTGTATGCTGAACTTCTGTTATGTTATGGGTATAGACCACTTTCCAATCACTTACACCAGTTAAAGTGTAATGCCTGTACCTAGCCTTAGTGTTTGTTAAGGGCACTATTCAGACAATGACAGCCAGGGGCTTCCTCTGGAGATTGCGGTCATGGAGCTGGTGCTGGGAGATAAGGGTCTCTTAGCGCTGGCACTGTGGCGCGGAACTGGCACTGTGAGCTCCCTGCCAAAGGATGCTGGAGAGCCTGCTCCCCAACCAGCTCCATGAGCACAGGGTACAGGGTAGGGAACTTGTTCCCTGCTCGGCTCCATGCTTGTGGAGCCAAGCAGGGAACAAGCTCCCAAGCCTGTTCCCTACCCAAGTCCGTGCTCATGGAAACAATCAGGGAACAGGCTCCTGGTCAGAAGCAGGTCCCAGACCCATGACGCAATCAGGTGACCAAGGCATGGGGCTTGGAAAGAGCTGCAGGAGTGGGGTAGATACCAGCCCCCTGCCCTGATCTGTCAGTGGGTCAGCTAGCAATAAGCTAGCTGCTAGCTGCCTCATTGGTAGATCAGAGCAGGGGGTTGGGACCTGTACCTTCCCTACAGCTCTTTCCAAGTCCCCTGCCCCTGATTGGGGAGCCAGGGCCAGGAGCTCCCTGCCACTGGGGCAGGGGGACATGGTCCCTGCTTTGGCAGTAGGCAGTACCTTGGGGCAGGATGTAATGTCCCAGCTACAGCCAGAAGACAGCTGTCTCCTAGCCCCGTGCTCCCTGCCAACCCCCTGGTGGCAGCAGGAGCCCATTGAAGCAAATCTGCAAATCTGATCCTGCTTCTCTGCATGTGTAAATGCCCAGGAGTGTTGACTCGCAAGTAGTTTACTCATGAGTAAACTGATCCTAGATCAAGTGCTTGTGTAAACATGCCCACTGTCACAGGAAACAACTCTCCATGCCAATTAACATGTCTCCATTTCTTTCCAACATGTTTCTGTTGCATTTTTTCTTCTTTTTTGTGTTTACTTACAGAATTCACTTATTTCTTCTCTCTTTTCTTTTTTTTTTTTCTATTTACTTATTTGTTTTGCCCACTCTACTACAGGGCCTCTGTGGAAAATATGAGAATGCTTTTATAATATATTTTATGGATATTATGTATCTTTCAGTTCCCCAGCCTTGCTACATGCTATTGTGCACTGGGGGGTAACTGCATGTAGCTTCCTAGTTTGTTATGAAATAACCTATCCAGTTATTGATATGGATATTTAACTAACATAGGAATGTCATGTCAAAGACAATGGAAACCACAAGAACCAGAGGTTAATTTTTCATGACGGAAACCAAGATCAGGAGACAAAAGAGATTAGGTCATATGTGGCCAGCAAGGTCATATGTGGCCAGAGGTGGCTTCCAGGTGAACATGGCTGGTTAGGCCCATTACTTTTGTTGATACAGACTCTCTCAAGTTTGGATTGGCCATTCTGACTAAGGAGTGCCTGCTATATTCTGGTTTGTCTGAGAACTCTTGGCTAATTTGGGAAATGTTGCTCATCTTGCTACAATTTATTTCTACTCATACTTCTCCCACCCAAAGCTGAGCTAATTTGGGCTTATTGGTGGGGCCACATAAGCAAGCCAAGTGCTGTCACAGGAAACCCTAGTCTTGGAATTCAGAGTTGTGGCATCGAACGTCATAAAGAATTTTTTTTCCTGATGCTGGGTGACTTCCAGGGACACTCAGAAGAACTGCAAAGCCAGTAATATCTTCCCATTTATTCATTGCTCTTTCATGACTTTTGTTTTCCCCTTTGTTTCTTGCTTTCTAGTTGCCTTCACTTCTGCCCAGAGGTTGATTGTTTAAGGCAAACTCTACTAAAACATCAAAAGGATGAAGCCATAGACAGACATCTCAAAGTCTTTTGATGGCTTTAATATTGGCCTGGCCTGTAAGTCACTGCTTTCATACAGTTCCTTTTTCTGAATCACATCCTTGTTGAAATATGTTTTACATCCAGGGCTTCAGGAGAAACATTGGGGAGTGCTCTGTGTATTCCTTTTCTGAAAACTACCTGAAGCTGTTTTGCTTGTTTGTTGTGTAACAGCTATGGCAGAGGCAACAAATATAGGTTTTGTCATTTCATAGATTCATAGATTCATAGATTAAGGGTCGGAA